CCCACCTCAATTCCCCTCCGTCGTCTCGGCGCTATCGCCGCCGTGGCCGGCGGAGCATACACAATTGTGCGGCAGCCTTCATTCTCCTCAAGCGATCGCGGTGACAAGTCTACCGCACTCGACACTTTTCGCCGGAAAATTGCTGATCCTTTCGCCGTCGTACCACCACGGAATACTCAGGAAGCGGCTCTGATCGGGTCTAGTTTGGTTAATCCTCTTGATATACTTGTTGTTGGAGGCGGTGCTACGGGTTGCGGTGTTGCTCTTGATGCTGCGACGCGAGGACTCCGAGTTGGATTGGTTGAGCGAGAGGATTTTGCATCTGGTACTTCTTCAAGGTCTACTAAGCTAATTCATGGAGGTTAGTTGGAATTTAATTTTTTCATCAGTTTTGTTATAACAGGTGGTTTTGATATACTGGCCTCATGTTAATTTAAAGCGTTGAAGTAAGAGGATGATCACATTCAGCTGTGAAAAATAGTCAAATTAGAGGAATTTTTTTTATGGATATAGAGGGTTTATATAGTTGATTGGAACTGAATTGTGATTGAGGTGCAGTAGCAGTAAGGTAAAAAAAATTGTCTTTTTCGATAAGGGATTGTGGTGGGAGGTGGCAGGTATCCTGTGGAATTAGTCGAGGACACCACGTTCATCAAAAAGATATTAAAAGGGATTGAGGAGTGTGTTGAGCATTATTTTCCCTTTTATGAAAGTGGACATAGTTTCAGGACAATATACAAGATGGAACTTTAAAATTGGGAATCTTGTAGCAGCATTATTTTGGGACACTATATTTATGCAGTGTCATACCCTATATATGCTTGTTTGTGGCACTAATAACAAGTTCAAAATGAAATCTTTAAATTGATTTAGTCTGCTTTACGAAAACTTTTCTTAAGAATCTGTTTGCTTATTGTTGCATGGTCATAAAAAAAATTCTTTTTGTCTATGTTTCTAAAAACTCTGGGAGTGAGCCTTGATGAGGAGGGATCTTGATGTTCGGAACATTGTTACTCAAGGCACTATTATTGTGTGTGACTGAGTTGGCAATGTCAAGGCAAATACGGAATGAAGAGAAAGGCCCTGTGAGAGAATTATTACAGTAATATCCAACTGAATTTGTTTCTTAATGTTGATTTTGGAACTTGGATACACATGCATCTCTCATCAACAGGGTACATAAGAAGGAATTAGAAAGCTTCTCTTATCATTTAAGAATCTCAAGAGTTTTAGCAGAAGGAAAACTAAAATTGTCAATTTAGTATGCTCAATAGTTACTTGGCTGCGATGATTTCTTAATATTTAATTGAACTGATTATGCCTCCCATTTCATTCCTAAGGGAATCAATCTTGTTGTTTTCGGGCTCCTTGCATAGATATTATCAAAATCAAAGTCATGACCAATTTTTATAGTCAATAATTTAACAATAACATACCATGGCAGTGGCAAAATTATGTTCTTACTATGCAACTGGATCAACACAATCATCTACAGAACTATCCCAACCATCTATACACATGGGCATTTCCTCTTTTAAGAAATCAAATATGTTGCAATCCCAAACTAATTCGGGACAACTATAGCAATCATCTGGATCCGCACAGAAAAGTAGATGAGTGAAACAAAAAGACCTTTTGCTGTTCTGGATCAAACTTTTTACCCCAATAAATGCACATTGGTGTGATTTCTGCTAATCTGCAGATAGCGAACCATATTAGAGCTTTAGAGAGATACCAAATCTATGTAGTCTATTGCCCAAACTTAGAATGCAAACTGCAAAAAATAATTGGGATAAAGTTTTTCTTTCATTTCCTTCTCACCTACCCTTAAATCCTTGGATAAAATTCCCTTTAACTATCCTCTATATGAGTCTACTGAATGCCTCTCGTATGAAAAGAAACAGTGACAAGACAACGGGGTCTCCAGTTTTCCCCCTTGAAGGAGCTTAACTACTAAAGAAACCTCATGGAGTAGCATTCGATAAGATGGAAAATTTCATAGTACCGGATGAAATATTTCACCATGATGGTTCCTTTCCCATGCTCTCCCTCTTTGTTGGTGCTCCATTCTCACAAATATCTAGATTAGAAACTTCCAGATAAATGATCCATTAGCTTCCCAGGTATCCAAGTTGCACGATAATCCTTACTCTATGCTTCTTAATCTTAAACCCACTGGCTCAACTGCACTGCATAACTCATGCTTCACACTGGATAATCTCTCCAAAAAGAAATTCCAGCTTGCTAACCGATTCTATTTCAGCCACAAGCACACACAAAGTGTCAGCCACTTGCTACTGCACTGCCCAGCTGCCTCAGACGTCTGAATATGTTTTGGTACTTTTTTGGTCTTTCCTGGGTCATGCCTCTGTTAGGGATGCTCTTGAAAGTTGGAGTTCACGGGAAGTTGACAAAGCCATCAAGAATATGTCGATGATGATCCCGGTGCTATCTTTTGGTGTTTATGGACAGAGAGGAATAAAATATGTTTTGATGGAATTTCAACTTCTAGAAATCTTTCGCGAGGCAGATGTAGGGGTGGGCATAAACACCGAAAAACCGAACCGAATCGAATTATTTTGGTAATTCGGTTTCGGTATTTCGGTTTTCAGTTCGGTATTCGGTATATGGTTTTGTATTTTTTGGTATTTCGGTTCGGTTTTCGGTATGTAATTTTTGTGTAATTCGGTTTACCAAAATATATTATATTATAATATATATTAATATTATATTAATTATTAATATTAAAAAATAAATATTATAATTTAAAATTAAAACAAAAGTTTTGTCTTTTTACAAAACTTTTTCAACTTTTACAGTCCCACTTCCCAAAAGGCAAAAATTACCGTTCCCACTTCCCACGTCTAGTTGTCTATAGACTATAGCATAGCAGCGTCAACCGTTCCGGCGACCAGCAGCACGCAGCAGCCGCCAATCGACCAGCAGGCAGCTGCAGCACAACAACGACCGGTAAATTTCAATGTTATAACAAGGCTAAATTTCAATGTTAACGACAATTTATTATTTTGAATCATATAATAATTTGAAAAAACAGAGTAAAATAAGCAAAAAGAAATAAACATACATAAAAATAAACAAAAAAATTACAAAATTTTAAAAAGCCCACTAAGCAAGCCCATAACAAAAAACCGAATTAACAAAAAACCGAACCGAAATAATAAAAACCGAACCGAACCGAATATTTCGGTTCAGTGTTCGGTACACGTTGTACAAGAACCGAAAACCAAAAAAAACCGGAAAAAAAACCCGAAACCGAACCGAAATACCGAATGCCCAGCCCTAGGCAGATGTCTAGTTTACTTTTTTAGTTGGTCCAAATTGACCTCTGTAAATAATTTAGAATTGTTAGCTCTATAGTTTAGAAAGAGGCTACAAATCCTTTTTTTGTGAGCTTAACTGATCTATCCTTGTAAAGCTTGCATCTTCTTGATGCCTTTAAATGAATCTACTTTATCAAAAAAAAATTTGCTATCAGTATAGCATCAAGGATTCATCTTCTTTCTTCAAAGGCATTCTGAAATGTAATATGGGATTACCCATCATCTTTAAGTCTCCCTGCTAATACATTTGCTTTTACTTTGTATGTGCTCCAGAACAAACTAATAGGCCAAAAATCTTGATGTATCCTTAGCTCTGGATTGTCTTTGGGATAGGTTCAATGAAAGAACAGTCAAGACTCTTTTCAAATGACACTGCTTGGTATTAGATGCTTCAAACATTTATCTCAGCCGCAGGAAAATGTCTGTAAAACCTTTGCAATAGGCGCTTTGTCTCCACGCAATTTTTCATTAGTCATTTCCCATTAGCCCTTTAGAACTCCTAACACTAACAGATTAATAGGTCTGCATCTCGACCAGGGAATTTGGAAAAGGCAAAAAAAAAAAAGAAAGAAAGTTAAGATTCTCACATAAAATTATATTATTTGTCTTCTATAAGACCACTCCTAAGATTTGAATGCTATATCCTGTGAATGCTCGACTGGCTAAATTGTTATTCTTTGTACTAACTACTACCTTAAATGCTTAGTGGTTGAGAATGGACAGATGACTTCACTTGACTCTTAAGATGATGTTAAGAACTGCACTGAGAAATTTTAGAGGATCCCTTTTGATTTCTTCATTGAGGCACCTCTTAATTAATATTCCCTCCATTTCAATTTATTTGTCTTACTTCCCTTTTTATTCCGTTTAAAAAAGAATGCCCCTTTCCATTTTTGGCAACTCTTTAATTCTAATTTTACATATGGCATGTTTAAGACCACAGGATTAAAGGGAATTTTTGGTACATTCTACATATCTTTCATTTAAGACCACAAGATTCGAAAGTCTTCTTTAATTTCAAATTTAAATGGAGGGAGTAGTTAGATATTTGCTTGAAGCTTTCCTTCATTTGTCACAGTTATCTTCTTTTATCTAAGATGTGCAAACTGCTTATACTAAGATTCTTGTTTCAGGAGTTCGCTATTTGGAGAAAGCAGTTTTCAACTTAGATTACGGGCAGTTAAAGCTAGTTTTCCATGCCCTTGAGGAGCGTAAACAGGTCATTGACAATGCTCCACACCTTTGTCATGCTTTACCGTGCATGACTCCGTGCTTTGATTGGTTTGACGCGATCTACTACTGGGCCGGCCTGAAAATGTATGATTTGGTCGCAGGGCGACACCTATTGCATTTGTCTAGGTATTATTCTGCACAAGAGTCTGTTGAATTGTTTCCTACCCTCGCACGAAATGGTAAAGATAAAACTCTGAAGGGAACTGTGGTATATTACGATGGACAAATGAACGACTCACGCCTCAATGTTGCATTAGCATGCTCTGCTGCTTTGGCTGGTGCAGCTGTGCTTAACCATGCAGAAGTTGTATCCCTTCTCAAAGATGAGGGTGATGGTAGAATAATTGGTGCACGTATTCGGAATAACTTGTCAGGTACTTCATGAATTTTATTGTAGAATTTGTGTTCCTACTCAGTTCCGTGCTTAAAGTTAGCTTGTAATCCTGGTGGAAGGATTAAGGTTGATAAATAGAGTTCCGATATCTTGATTTGTGAAAAAATTATAGTTTCACTGTGCATAAAGCAATAAACATTTGAACAGATTAGGTGCTGACACGTCAGCTTCCCATTTCCTTGGACCTAGACTAGAGTTGTAGTTAAACATGGCAGAAAGTTACTTAAGACGACAAAAAGGGGACGAGTGACCATAAAAGATATCATGTGTTGTATCACTTGCTCCTAAAAGTCCCATTATATATCTCCATGTATGTACAATTATCTATTATGCTTGTCTTTGAACCTTTGTCATTTCTTCGAAATGTTTGTCAGTGACATACGGGATCATCGTGATGCTGTTGATCTCTTCTTTCTCCTGTGGTTTAAGTGTAGTGATTTCTGAGGTTTTGAAAATTTTGAACTTTCTCTTAAAATATTTTTGTTGTGGTCCACGGCTGGACTCATGAGTGAAGAGGCTGTTCTAGTATCAAAGATTGGTAATTAATTACCAACCACATAACCAGATGCTTCGGACACAGTTTTTACACGTTGCTTGGCTTAGAGTTATCATGTTTCAAAATATGTATCTGGTCATAGTTGAATTTTCTTGCCATATTTCCGTGGAGTCAAAATATTTGTGTAGAGGTGTTATTGACAAACATTTCCAAAATTGGCATAAATCTTTTCGAGTTGGGTGGGAATATCAACTTTAAACAAGTATTTGATCCAACAAAGGCAAGTCACTCTGGCATGAATCTCTGTTCAACTTTTAGACGATTAGAAAATGCTTTTAGTACTATTTATTAATTTCTCCTTTAGCCCCCAAGGCCTAGCTCGAGTGGCAAAAGGTGGAGGATTTGTGGCTTAGGTCGCAGGTTCAAGCCCCACACCATGCAAAGCGAAGCCCGGCATTTAAGTGGAGAAGGGTAGAGGGGCGGGCCCATTATCCACCGAGTTTAGAAGGCTGTGATTGGTCCAAAGGGCGGGTCACAAACGGATTTCTTGGTTATCAAAAAAGAAATTCTCCTTTAATTGTTTGCTCCTTTTGTTCATGTTCACTCATCTGCCTCTAAGTTTTCACTCCTCTTCTGACAGGGAAGGAGTTTGATGCATATGCAAAAGTTGTTGTTAACGCTGCTGGGCCTTTTTGTGATTCTGTACGGACATTAGCTGATAAAGATGCAAAACCCATGATTTGTCCCAGTAGTGGTGTACATATTGTACTTCCTGATTACTATTCTCCAGAAGGAATGGGCTTGATTGTCCCTAAAACTAAGGATGGTCGAGTGGTCTTTATGCTTCCATGGTTGGGCAGAACAGTAGCTGGTACCACTGATTCAAACACCAGCATAACGATGCTGCCAGAACCTCATGAGAATGAGATCGAATTCATTTTGGATGCCATCTCTGATTATCTTAATATTAAGGTGTGTTGATTACTAGCAATCCTGATTTTTATTTTTTTCTCTTAATATCATAGAGTGCCTCTAATATAAATCCCTGTAAGTCAAATATTTATATAATCATTATTCCTCATTAGGCATCTGGAAAAAAGGTCTACATTGTGACACTTTTTGCCTCTTGATCTCTGTTTTGGCTTGATATCAAATTCAAATGTTACTATCCTGATCAATAGCATATTTCTCTATCACTTTTAGCTGAGCTAACTATTATCCCTTAATTGGTTTTTATGCTTTTTCATTGAAAGGAGTCGATGTAAAGAAGCTGAAATTTCTTAAGTTTTTGGATTAAGGTGAAATTTATTAAGCTATTCCAGTAAATGTGTAGGAGATATTCAGTATACTATCTTTTAGCCATTTAGTGGCTTCCAGGTTATATATTGGATTACTGACTAAACAATCAGTTAAGTCAGAGTTCGATGTAAATTGTTCTTATAAAAGAAGTCAAGAGTTTGATGTATATTGTATCAAGTGCATAAATAGATCATGGACCATTTCCCATAAGGGGTCTAGTATTGCATAACTGCTATCCAACATGTTCCATATGTAGACTTTTTTTACTGTACATGTTTGATGTAGATTATGTAATAACGTTGAAAAATCTTCTTGTTATCTAAACTATATTGCATAAAGAATGACTTGCCAAATTCATATTTGATAAAACAAATATATGTGCTCTTTCTTATGTGAGGCAAATTGTTAATCTCACAAGTAGATTGCAGTACTACTGTGAGATGGTATTAGTACTACTGCTGTGGTCAAACTTTACTTGTGCGCATCTGGTAAAGCATTTCAACTTACAACAGTGGATGATGGTGTCTCTTGATTTTATTGTTTGATTCCAAAACTTCTTCCTGGAAGCTGAGCTTTAACTCCCTTGGAGTAATGTGTAGGCTTGTTATTCATATTTCTTTTTGCGTTGTCAATACAATCTTTTAACGCAAAACTTAGTGACTAATATCAACAACTCCTATGATATAGTAGCCAACAAATTGTGTGAGGACCCAGAAATCTTAAGAGGAGAATGTTTGACCCTAGGAAAATATTGACAGAGATGGGGCAGAGAAGGTCAAAGCAAAAAAAGAGAGAAGAAAAAGGCCTTTGTGAATGACATGAACTTAAAAGGCATATCATGAACTTCTTGACAGTTAGAAAACTCCATCCTTTTGTTCGTGAGTCATAGGAGCTTTGCTTGTTAGTAGATATGTCTGTGGTGACACTCTCGATGATAAGGGGGATACATTTCCTACGTACACAGGGATGCTCGGTACTTGAATCTAATATCTCAGTAGCCTATGGATTTATTTCTTGTTTAGTGAGCAGCATCGAAGTTGTCAATATAGTGAGCATGTTTGTCATACACAGTTATTACTATAACAGTTTACTTATTTTTCATTCAGTATTTGTAAGGTGGCTACAACCTGTATTTGACTGTTTAGTTTCCCTATTTTCACGAAGGCAACCAAAACTCCAGTTTAAAATGTTTTTCTTGTTTTATATGTCACCTATAGTGTCCTTCTTGTCTATGGAGAATGATGTTAGATTTCAAATTTAGGTACGTCGTACTGATGTCCTATCTGCTTGGAGTGGTATCCGCCCTCTAGCAATTGATCCCAAGGCAAATAGTACGGCGAGCATCTCCAGAGATCATGTTGTCACTGAAGATCATCCTGGTTTGGTAACAATTACTGGTGGAAAATGGACTACGTATAGAAGGTAACTTATAATATCTGAATTAATGGGTAATGCTAGTTGTCTTGTGAGACGAGGAGGTGTTTCTATATGGAAAAGAGGCCCGTTTGTTCAGAAAGCAGCCCCAAGTTGTTTTTTAGAGGTGCAATTCTGTTGAATATGGAAAGAAGCTTGGGCTACTTTGTATAAAAGAACCAGAGATGGTGCTTTTTGTTTCAGAAACAGTGGGTCAACCTTTTTTCCTTTGGGTGTCCTCTTTTCAGCTTTTGTGAATTGCAATTTGAACCATAATCTTTTCTCCTCTTAATTCGGAAACTTGTTTCTTTCCTTCAATAAAAGACACTACTAGGAGATATATTTTGTAACATTGAAAGATGTTTAGTAGGTTTAATAAACTTTTTATTGAATATAATAGTTTTTTACACATTGGTGTGAATTGTAAAATCCATGATATCAATTTGATTTTTATATAAAAAATATCCACCCATATGAAACCCTCAAAAAAAAGTTTTGTAAGTATAATTATACTTCTAAAAGGCAACCAAAAGCATTTTCCAAAAAACTGAATCTGAAACACAAGTGTTTTCTGGAAAAATGCAAATAAATACATTTATTGCAAAGACAAAAAAAAAAGGTTCTAAATACAAACACAATTTAAAATGGAACATCTCCAAAGTTTTTTGGTCTCCTTTATTAACATTTTAAAGTTTTGTCTCATCTCCAAAGCTTTTTGGTCTCCTTTATTAACATTTTAAAGTTGTCTCATTTCAGCATGGCAGAAGATGCGGTTGATGCGGCTATAAAATCTGGAAAATTGAACCCAGGGAATAAATGCTTGACATACAACCTTCAACTCGTAGGTGCAGATGGATGGGATCCTGCATCTTTTACGGTACTTGCTCAACAATATGTCCGCATGAAAAGGTCTCATGCAGGGAAGGTTGTTCCAGGAGCAATGGACACAGCTGCCGCTAAACATCTATCTCATGCTTATGGTGCATTGGCTGAACGAGTGGCTGCTATTGCTCAGGTTTGCTTCCTTCTTAGTTCCAATTGTTCCTTTTTCTTCTGGTACTTTGGCTATATGTCTTTATACTAACCTTAATGCATTTTATGTCAAGTACTTCTTAAGGTAGCTCATTGTTAATACAATCTACTCTATAATACATGAACAGAACAAAAATAAACAATAGAAAGGCATTCTGCAGAACATGCTTGCTGATTTAGACACTTGTTTAAAGTAGTTTTTGCAATTTCTGGTATCTGCAAGCTTCTTCTATCTTTTTTTGCTTAGTTATTGTAGATTGCATGAAATGCCAGTTTCTGGGAATCAATAAAGAACCAAGTATTTCTATTGTCATTGACTGATATGTACGGGTCTCCAAGAATGGAATCAGGGATGTGTCTATTCATGAATGTGGATTTGAGGAGGAATATCTGAGTCACTCTGAACTTGAAATTCATTATTTTAGAGGAGCATCTCAACTTTGAATCAACATTCATTCTCATTAACACTTGCATGAGGAGTAGATTTTGATTTTTGATAAAAGCTTCCTATGTTATGAAAGAGTAACACTCTGGAGTAAGAACTTTTGCTATTTGAGAAGCCTGTACTGTCAATATGAATCAGAACTTGTTGAATAGGATGCATGATAAATGCAAGATAGATTGAACATGCTGGCTTAAAAACCCTTCTCAATAATTTGTCTAGCACATTTTGAAAATACTTTACGAAAATGTACACAAAGTCTCAGTCCCTCAATATGATTTCAGGATCTTTCCAAGGTGTATCATGGAAGATATTTTATAACCTTGAAAAAATAAATTCCTGAGAACTTGTTCATTTAACTTGTTCCAAAAAGTTATTGCAAAAAAATTTGAAAAAAAACTGTTTTATGATAATGTGCTTTGAATGCTTACCTTTCTAAAAAACCTGTGGTTTGTGTCCCAAAGAAAAGTTTCTTCTCTACACTCACATTGCTCAGAAATCTTCAAACACAGTTTTCTATTTTCATATTTTTTTGCCAAAAGAAGTTTTTTCTAAGTAGTTTATCTCAAAGTTGTTCAATTAGCTCTTTAATCTTCACTTCAAATTCATTTAGTGAGGTAGTTATTTTCTGGCATTTTCATGTCTACTATGAGTTTCCAAGCTTAATTTGATTTATCTGAATTGCAGAACGAAAATCTGGGAAAACGACTGGCTCATGGATACCCTTTCTTGGAAGCTGAGGTTGCATACTGTGCTCGGGAAGAATACTGTGAATCCGCTGTAGATTTTGTAGCTAGAAGATGTCGTCTTGCCTTCCTTGACACTGATGCTGCACAACGTGCACTGCCACGAATAATAGAGATACTGGCTGCAGAGCACAAATGGGACAAGTCTAGGCAGAAACAAGAACTGCATAAGGGAAAACAATTTTTAGAAACTTTCAAGTCTTCAAAAAATGCACAATTCCATGATGGGAAGCACTAGTAAGTTATTCAATCCAATACGAAACATGTTCTTCTAGAGTCAGATTTCCCGTTTCTGACGCTTACCCGCTTATTGTTCTAGGTTCTTAAAGCTGTATATCAATCTTCAAGACAGAGTTCTACTTTTACATTCTTCTGCGTTAAAGAGTGACGAAAATACCACACATACCTTTTTCATGTATGCATTTCATATGGACTAAAGCTGCAGAATGACTTATTCTGTCAAAGCTTATAAGTTTCTTAGGAACAGTTCATTTTTTCATTTCGTCCGTTGGGAAGATCATTTCTCTTGATCATCTTATAGTTATTGGATTATGTCTAGGGCATGAAATTTGGCCCCTCTGATGTAATAATTATTAATTTAATTAAGTATAGATTAATGTTATTTTTGCGACCTCAATTTGTTTGGGACTGAGCCGCTGTTGAGGCATAGTTGTTCTTCCTCTACTTTGTTACTCTATGGTCTTCAAGTCTCATGCATAAGGAGGAAACTCAGCAATCAAAAAACAAAGAAGAGGGAGTTTTTTTTTTTCTTTTTTCTATACTGCAACTACAAGTTGGATTATTATTTTGTCCCCAAATAAATTTACCAACTTAGATGATGATAATGGTATCTTCGAGGAAGAGGATATGTTGGATTATTATTTTGCAAATGCAGCTAGGAATGCAGATATTTTTTCGATGCAATAACGCAGCAACAAAAAGAAGCATGTAAGAAAGCATAGTTATTTTGCTTATTGAGTTAATTTTTTTAATTGATTTTTTAACAACCAATTGGAAGAGGACAAGAAAAATGTTGTCTTATTAAGATTCTGATCAAATGATCTTTTCAAAACAAAACAATTATACTATCGCATTTAAACTACAAAAAAGTATTCAGGGTGGATCGTTATTTATATACTATAACTTTACATTGAATATTCTTCTTAATTGGATATTATTTTTAAATTTAATTCTATAATTGTTGTAGTTTGATTTGGATAATGTATTATTGAATTGATGAGTGTATTTTTCAATTTGTAAGACGAATTTTAAGGAAAATAAATAAAATCATATTTATGTTTTTCCCAAAATACATAAAATTGATGATTGTAATTTTAAATTTCGAAAATGAATTTTAAGGAAAATATATAAAATCATATTAATGTTTTCCCAAAAATAAATGAAATCATCTTATAAACAATCAATTCGAAGGAGACATTGAACCTAACATTTTTTTACATCTTAGGCCAAACGCAGAATTTCCTGTCAATTCTTTTATATATCTCTTCAAAAAAAATATTTAGCAGTAATAAATATGAATATTAACAAAGAGTATTAAAGTCTTTACGGTCTAGTTAATTAATATTCAACCCTCGGGATGGTAAATTTTCCATATCTATTTATCATTTATCGTTGGATCAACTAGTTGAGGATATACGGAAACTAGATTGCCTTTTAAGTCTTGAATCATGAGATTGCAATGTCTATTATTATTGTGATGGACTGGGTATAACTATCAGGTTTTATGTAGATTTTTTGAACCAAACTCACTTTTACTATGGAATAACTGCATAGGAAAATTAATTGTACTTCCCATTCCAAAATTTTAAGTGAAGAGATTATTATTTTTAATTTGAGAATGAGTTTTGATTCAACTAGTGGTGATTATAAGATCCTCAAGATTCCCCAGGACAGAAATAAAGGTCCCAAAGTATGTATTGTAAAGATATGATACCAGAACCTAACTCTACCTCAAAAGTTAGCTCATGAGGGGAAGATTGTTCAAGTCCATATAAGCAGACCACCAGTCCATTCCACAACCAATGTGGAACTTTTACCCACTCTAACACCCCCTTCACGCCTAGGCCAACTGAAACGTGGACCAGGAGCCCAAACGGGAATGAACTTGACTCTGATATCACTTAAAGATATGACATCTGAGCTCAACTCAACCCCAAAAGCTAGTTCATGAGAAAAGGATTGTCCAAGTCCATATAAGCATACCATCAGTCAATTCTCCGACCAATGTGAAACTTTTACCCACTATTAAACGTATCTAGTAAAATTCTCACGTTGAAAATTGGTTCTCAATTCATGATCAACATCATTGTGGCTATCACAATATGCTGCTTGTTATGCATTCGTTGACATTTATACATGGGGCATTTCATTGGCTTGCTACTTAAAGAAACTATTTTGTGGTTTTATTTAATATTTCTTATAAAATGTATGGAGAGATACAATTGTTGGATCAAATATATTTGCTTGAGCAACATTGATATTGGCATTTCAAAATTGGAAGTAATGCTTTGTTCTTATTCTAATGTGTATCATCACGGGAAACACATTTCTAAATTATGGGTGATGAAAGATTATGGTGTCAAGGTATTTTGGAATGCAATATTTTTCATAGCAGATTTCGATATTATTACCCTCATACTATTGGCAAATGAGAAAGTGTTATCCTAGTGCATACATCATCGACGCATGGATAATGCATATTGAAGACAGAGAGGATCCGTTACCTTATTGCCTCGGAGTCTCAGTCAAAATATATTCGCTTTTATAGAAAGCTCTATTTATTTGATATTTATTTATGTATAATCGAGACATTCTTTTCATTTTCTAAGTATAATATTACAATATTTGATTGTTATTAATTTATCTATCTTTTAGATTAATTCAAATTGTATTTACCATACCTTTCTTATTTCATGTTTTCAGGGAAAGAAGATGAATCATTTCTTTTATTAGAAAAGTGTTTGGATTTGAATATTCTAGTTTTTACTTAATTATGATAGTACTTTTGGTTTGAATATTGTAGTTTTTAATTAAATATTTTATTTTAGTTTGCTTATTGAGTTTATTTTTTATAATTAGTTTTTTAACAACCAACTGAAAGGGGACATTTGAACCTGACCTCCTTTTACATCTTGGAACAAGAGAAATGTTGTCCTATTAAGATTTTGATCCAATTATCTTTTCAAAACAAAACAACTATATTACATTTAAACTACAGAAAAGTATTCAAGGTGGATCGTTATTTATATACTATAATTTTACATTGAATATTCTTCTTAGTTGGATATTATTTTTAAATTTAATTCTATAAATGTTGTAGTTTGATTTGGATAATGTATTATTGAATTGATGACTGTAGTTTTAAATTTTGAAGACCAACCTTATGGAAAGTAAATCAAACCATATTTATGTTTTTTCCCAAAAAGAAATAAAATTGATAATTTTTAAGGAAAATAAATAAAGTCATATTTATGTTTTTCACAAAAATAAATAAAATCATCTTATAAACAACCAATTGAAAGAGGACATTGAACCTGGCCTCTTTTTACATCTTAGGACAAGAGAAATCATGTCCTATTAAGATATTTTAGTTGGGTATTAATTGTATTACTAAAAAAATCATATTTATGTTTTTTCCAAAATAAATAAAATCATATTTATGGTTTTCCTCAAAATTAATAAAATCATCTTATAAATAAGCCCAACATTCATCCTAGTAGTATACAAGAAGAAAAACTCTAGCATTCAAATTAAAACTCTAAAAATGTCAAATTGTCAAGAAAAGAACAAATCAGTTCTTTCTAATCAAATTTCTGAAGGTATATATATCTATTTCTTTCTGTTGAGTGTATTAATTTCTTAATAACGATAATTTCTTGAGTCAGTTTCATACGATCTTAGATGCAGGACAAAGAGTTGTGGAGTTGTCAGAAAAAACAAAATTAATGAAAATTGTTGATATGAATCAGGTAAGTTCTCCACTTGAAATTTTCTAAATATTGTTACTCCATTTGTTTGCTTATAGTAGATAGAAGAAATAAAATAAAAATTCCGGTTAATCCTTTCTAAACTCTTGGTTGATCATATAACATTTGAATTTTTGGAAAACAAATTTCTGATAGCACATTTTTGTCCTATCTTGGCCATGCAGGTTCATTTTCAAGAAGAAACACTAACGGACATTCTCAACAGGTTACCAGTGCGATCTCTTCTTCAATTCAAGTGTGTATCAAAATATTTGAAAACGTTGATCGATGACCCGATATTTAGGAAGCAACATCTTAATCGTGCAAAGAATGACCAAAATTCCCAAAAGTTTCTCTTTTACACATGTCTCCTTTTGGAAGATAGATGTTCCATATCTTGTTATCCTCTATCGTCGGATCAACAGGTTGGGGTACGGGAACTGGATTTCCCTTCAAATCTTAAACCACAATATTGTGATGTCTATTGTTGTTGCGATGGTTTGGTAATTATCAAGGTTTATGAAAATAATCCAGGACGTTACTCATTTTTGCTATGGAACCCCTCTACTGGAGAATCAATTGAACTTCCCAGTTCAAAATTTTCACCAGTGGAGGAATATTCTACTTGTTATGGAATGAGTTTTGACTCGGCTAATGATGATTATAAGATCCTTAGGATTCCCAAAGGCTGGAACGAATATTGCAGAGATGTACCTGGTGAAATTCTCTCGCTAAAAAGTGGTTATTGGAGAAAAATAGATGCATATCCTCGTAAAATTCTCAGTAGGTTGTATGGTATCCATTCTTTGACAATTATACACGGGGCATTTCATTGGGTTGCTATGTCACGTGATACTTGTTTTGTGGTTTCATTTAATATTTCCCATGAAGTGTTTGGAGAGATCATACCATTGCCAGAGAAAATGTGGTTGGCCAACGGTCATATTGGCGTTTCGGAATTGGGAGGCATGCTTTGTGCTTATACTAACGGGTATTATCAAAGGAAGCGTACTTTTAAGTTATGGGTGTTGAAAGATTATGGTCTCAAGGACTCTTGGAATGAAGTAATATCTATAGTAGATCCTGATATTATTATAGCCTCCCCGAAATATAAATTTCCAGATGGTGAAGTGTTAATCTGGTGCGAACATTTTGAAGGCGAGGAAGGCGAGGGAAATTCATTTAGGACACAAAGAGGACCTTTTACATTATTGCCTCGAGGTAACTTTCAGAACGGATTCGCTTTCACAGAGAGCTTGATCTCTCCAAGGTTACTTATAACTTAGTATTTGCTTATGTATGATTGAAACATTTTCCCATTTTTCGGTTATCATATTACAATCTCTTGTTTTCATTAGTTTATTTATCGATTGCATTTCTTTTTGTTTCAAATAATATTTATCAAAAGTTTATTTATTTCATGTTCCTAGGGAAAGATTACTTCATTTTCAAATTACAATCAACTCAAAAGATCAATTACCATCAACTAGTTGTGGCAGTATGTTTTTTAATCATGTATAGTAAATTTACCTAGTTCTGATGCTTTTATAATAAAAATGGTCTCATTATATATTTATAAGCCAATTAACGAATCGAAAGCTTCTAATATTATTCCCTTTTTATTATTAGATACACAGAATTT